GACATTTATGGGGAGAAACAATTGACTAATAATCCTTAAAAACAAAAACAAAATCCCCAAAGGATTGGTCCAAAATCTGTTTAAGATAAATATATCAATGGCAATTTCGTAGTTTAGATAAAAACCAAGGATATTGTTTTTAATCTTTTTATCTACCCTATAATTCTCATATATATAACCCTTTCTCTTACCCTCCGGTCAAATTCTCGTCGACTTTTCTTCTGGTCTCTGTTTTTCACGCCGGAGAAAGAGAAAGTAAAACAAAACAAAACAAAAAAAGCTCGAAACTTTACAATCCAAAGTTATGGATCCGATCGAATCTATGGACTACAATGGCTTTGAGACCTCTAACGGTAACTCTCACGTCGACCATGGATGGGAGAAAGTCGTGTACCCAAAACGCAATCGGAAGCAAAAACCGGCGGATCAAGCGGCGGCGAGTGGTAAGATTGTTCCTAATGGAAACGTATCTAACGGCGATAGCGTTTTCCGTGGCCTTGAGAAGGAAGCTGAGGGTCGAAGACAACGGATCCTTGCGGAGAAGATGGCTGCTGCTGATGTTGAGGATGAGCTAGATGGTGCGAGATCTAAACGCCGATCTAATGATTACGGCGATGAAGGGTATGATTTCGATGGTAGCGATGATGATGAGATCACGGCGAGGAATGAGAATCTAAAGAAGACGGAGGAAACTAAAAAGCCGAAACCCAAAAAGGAGAAGAAGCCAAAGGTTACTTTACCTGAAGCAGCTTCGAAGATCGATCCTTCAAATCTCGAAGCTTTTCTCATTGAAGCATCGGTAAGTGCATCGGATTGTAAAATTCTGATCTAGAGAGCTAAACCCAGATCGGAATTCACGTTCTTTGTTGTTGTTGTTAGGAATCGTATGCGACTCAGCCGGACATTCAGCTTATGAGATTTGCAGATTACTTTGGGAGAGCTCTTTCCGGTGTATCATCTGTTCAATTTCCATGGGTGAAGATGTTCAAGGAGTCTCCTTTATCCAAGCTGATCGATGTAAGCTATATTTTAACAGTGTGAGGTTTTGGAATCAAGTTTAGGGTTATGTTTATAGAGCTGATTATGTTGTTTTATCGACCAGGTTCCGTTATCTCATATTCCGGAACCAGTTTACAAAACATCGGTGGATTGGATCAACCAACGTCCAGTTGAGGCTCTTGGAAAGTTTGTATTGTGGGCGTTTGATTGTATTCTAACAGATTTGGCAGCACAACAAGGAGGTGCTAAAGGTGGGAAGAAGGGTGGACTACATACTTCTTCTAAATCTCAGGTAATTTCGAAAACATTTTCTCGTATTCGAAACGGGGATCTTTGCTCAATGCTACTCGTTGATTTGATCGGTTTCTCCTATATGTGTGTGATTGAATGTTGTATTGTTATCCTTTTGTTAACCGACTCAATTATGTTGTATTCGTAGGTGGCAATATTTGTTGCATTAGCAATGGTATTGCGTAGGAAACCTGATGCTTTGACTAATGCATTGCCGACTCTGAGGGAGAATCCTAAGTATCAGGGACAGGACAAGCTTCCGGTTACAGTCTGGATGATGGCTCAGGTTCGTTTACTTTTTTTTTGTGTTTCCTTATGTGATTTAGGACCGAAAGTGTCAAAGTTTGCGTTTTTCTTTTGATCTGTATTCTGAGATTTAGTCAACTGTAAAATTTGGACAGGCCGCTCAAGGTGATGTATCTGTAGGCTTGTATTCGTGGGCACACAACTTGTTACCTGTAGTCAGTAATAAGAACTGCAACCCTCAGTCAAGGGATCTCATCCTTCAGTTGGTTGAGAAGTGAGTCGAAAGCTTTCTTGTGATCTCCTTTGCTATATAGTTGATAAATGATCTAATCTTGTTTGTGCAATGTTCTTATAGAGTTTTGTCGAACCCAAAGGCTCGGACCATACTTGTAAATGGAGCTGTTAAGAAGGGAGAGAGACTGATTCCACCTCCTTCATTTGAGATCTTGGTGCGGCTTTCATTCCCTACTTCATCCGCAAGGGTAAAGGTAAGTAGTAGTAATTGGAATCTATTAAAACAAAACCTTGATGCGTTTGTTGATTCTGATCACAAGCATGGTCTCTGTTTGCACACAGGCTACAGAGAGGTTTGAGGCGATATATCCCTTGCTGAAGGAAGTGGCTCTTGCTGGTGCACCAGGAAGCAAGGCAATGAAACAAGTCACACAACAGATATTCACTTTTGCTCTGAAATTAGCTGGAGAAGGTAATTAGTAACAAACAAAATCTTGAATCCTTGAGTTTTCTTCTTCTAGATAGAATTCTAATGTTACCGATGTTACAGGAAATCCTATTTTAACCAAGGAAGCTACAGCAATCGCTATCTGGTCTGTGACCCAAAACGTTGATTGCTGCAAGCACTGGGACAATCTCTACAAGGAGAATCTAGAAGCTAGTGTTGCTGTTCTTAAAAAACTTGTAGAGGAATGGAAAGAGCATTCCCTCAAACTATCATCATCACCGAGTGATACTGCCACTCTCAACCGAACTATGAAGAGCTTCAGGCTGAAGGTAATGCCTCTTACTTTTCTAAGCTCTAATTTCACCCTTCACTTGTAATTTCATCTCTGAAGTCTGACCTTACCTGTAACGTTTTAGAACGAGGAAGCCATCACTGAAGGAGAAGCCAATGGTTCTCTTTACAAAGAAGCTGACAAATCCTGCAAAGTGATCTCAGGGAGACTCTCCCGTGGCAGTGGCTGCCTTAAAGGAACAGCCATTACTGCTGTAGTCCTAGCTGCAGCAGGAGCCGCTGCTGCAGCTGTTCTATCCTCAAACCCGGAGGCTATAACCGAGCTGAGGAACCTGGTGGACTCATTGGACCTGAACAAATACGCTCAGGCAATCACCACAGCTTTGAAGATGTAAGAGAGGAAGAGAAACAAAAAAACATGAGGACGATAAGTAGAGGTAACTCTTATTATCGTCGATGTAGAGAATTACTTTAAAGTTAAAAAGCCTTTTACGCTCCGAGATACAAAATTTTGAAAAGCTTGACTAGAAAATAAGGAGGGTTTCGTTTTTATAAATCACAAAGTTGGGAAATGGGAGTCTGTTCAAAGCTCGAAAGTTTGTAGAAGGTTTTTAGACTGTTTAAATTGTGTCCAAAGATAATTTATTTCTTCCCTTTTTTTTCTTCTCCTGATGACAATAAAGTTATTTCTGTTTATTATATGTTTCGAGTTTAATAGTCACTGATTATGTTTGAAACATAGCCTTAAGCTGAATATAAGAAAAGAGCCTGCACAAGTCATTACATTGTGTTCATGTGAATCCAGAGTATATATACGGTCCCAAGATATTAGTAGTCGTAATCTTCTGGCTTTGCGAATGGGTACTTGAGGTAACCGTTTTTGATTGTGGAGGGGTCTTTTGGTTTGTCCCACGGATACTTCATAGATGGATCTCTTGGGAACTTTCTGAAGTTGAGAAATGGTGCCCATAACAGTAGCCTGTGAAAGAATAAAACTTGATAAAGACCCGAAAGAGTAAGGATCGATGCGAATAATAATGGTGTGGTGATACCTACCCGGGGAAGAACAGGAAGACGAACATGAACTGTAAATACATTTCGAAGAACTTCCTTCTGTACCATCTTAGCCTCAGCCAGTTCATGATGATTGGCTAACCACCAAAAAATAATTAATGTTTCTTGAAACATGAATCATCTAATTCTTGAAAATACAATCTCTCAGGACGCAAACTTACTGGCATTACGAGGAAGTACCAAACGGATATGATCCCGATATCGAGCACAGTTCTGCTCAATTCCTGCTCATTGTTGACTCCTGTTATTGCGAAAGCCGGATGATCAATCTGAAAAACTAAAGCTTTTTCGATTAGTGCCATTTCTCTCAAAATTTCAGTCGCGAATAGACAGGTCTTGTATGTTCTTACCGTGGCAAGAACTGCCCCGAGTTGAGCTGCCAAGATTGTCTTCTTTGCTCCAAAGAAATCACCGGCCTTTGCTCTCATCTTGGCAACATTCTGTAGTAAACAATAACAGTGTTCAAAGACCAAGAAACAGAGTTTTTTTCCTGCAGATTCTTGTTGATGGCTCTAGTCAACTAAGTTAGATGGAAGTCTTACATGAAGAAGAGGATTAGTGTCAGAATTTGGTTTGGTGTGAGATGTAATGATACAGAGAGGAGCTTTGACACTGCAAGGCCTCGAGGAGAGAGATGACAAAGCAATCGGAACACAGTGACCAAGAGAGCAGCAACGGCTCATCTCTCTGTTTCTGTCTTTGTTAAGTTTCTTTTTTTCCTTATCTCTTGAGATTGGTTCTAATGGCAGAGAGAGTTTAAGCTTCCAGCTTTGGATTACTTTCTTCTGAATCGCTTGAATTCCACGTGTCATAAGTAGGTCCCACGTTTGATTTGGCATATACTGTAAAACAACAAAAACTCATTCCAAATTCCACATGTATTCCAATTTTGTTAACAGAGAAATAGTATTCTTCTTATGGGGAAATTGTTGAAAGCTGATATAAATCAATTTCTCAGTCTCACAAGTAGTTTTTTTTTTTGTTGTGATTTGATCATTTTACCAAAGTAGGTTATTGCATATAAGCTATGATAATTGATCTTCATTCATTACATAAGAGAATCCCTGATAAGTTTGTGTGGCATGTTACAAATGCAGAACATGAGAATGAAGCTAAGGACTTAAGAGAAACATGTAAGTTTTGATTAAGCTAGAAACTCATGGAAGCTGAATCCTTTAGACAGACAAACTGTCCCTTTATGTTGTTTCACAGGAGAGACACAGACAGTGAGAGACATCCAAATGTTTTCTTTTTGTTGCAACGGCTAACAAAACATGAATCTCCCATAACACACAACATGCTTTGTTTAGTTGTTCCATTATTTTATTATTTTTATAAGTGTTTTAGATTAGTATGATTCTATTCCCATGTCAAAAACCAATGGGTTTTTTTGTGTGTGTGTGTGTATGGAGGAGATCCCTAATTAAAGGTTAATTAGGGGGGGAAAGTGAGCATTATGGATGCTTTGGTTTTCCAATAATTGAAATTCCGAGATTTCGGAATTGGAACCAGAAAAAAACCAATTTGATAGGTGTATGTGTATTGTGCAATATGATTTTCTCTATCAAGATTATTCTATTTATTTTACAAAATTATTTAGAATTATTATAAAATGGTTTTTTGATAAAGGATAAAAGAGGGGCCACTGGATCCCCCACCTCTCTGCTACAAGCTCTCAATTCACCATCATTGCTCTCACCATTTTTACTCTTTCTACTCTTATTGTAAACCAAAATATGTTCTTTATAAATTTCCATTTCCAATTCCAATTCTTTCGCTTATATGTTTTACTTTGTTGTAGTACATCTAGATTTAATTACATACCATTTATCTAAAATCTGTCTATTATAAGACTTATTGCAAAAGATTTTAAACATTTCAATAATATTTGGGTTTACATTAAAAAAAAAAAATTATAACTGATATTATTAAAAAAAATGATATTTGAGTTTACAATAATATTAACCTTTAAGTCTATTATAACTTAAAATTTAGGCTAGCAACGAATTCTCGGATTCTCAAAAAAAAAATTGAGGGTGGATTACATATTTAAATTTAATCCCTTTCTCTAATTTCCTAGAAAGTTTTATTACGACAACACTTTTTCATGGAAGCGACTAGCGAGTTATCCTAAGTTTTTGACATTTTTCAGAATCCTAAGCTTAGTGTGGAAATAATTTTCTTCTTTTGTGGGAATTTGCAGCGCCATTACAACAAAAGTTAATCACATGTTAAAGCTTGAGGCTGCAAACCCCACCAACAATTTTAAAGTATCGATATTGATTCAGCCGACGAATATTAATCATTGAGGTCGCTTCGTCTCTCTTGTTTTTTATGATAAAAATAAAACTAATGTACAGTATATAATAAGCTTGGTAGAAGTAGTACAGTTTTGTTATAAATTGATCGAATTCATACGTTTATGTCCATTAAATTTAAAATATGTTTGGGAGCGGCTCACATCGTCAAAGACATTATAGATGTTTATTCTGCCCTGATATTAATCTATATATCAATCAACTAATTAAAGATCCAGAAAATGATGTGGAAGTATGAGTGCACGTACCTATATTTAGCTTAAAATGATATAGAGATATGAATATTCTCAAATGAGGAAAAAATGGATATATTCTATAACTTTTTACGTAGTAAATTATTAGGAAAATCAGTGAGGTGCGAGTGACCTGTCATTAAACTTTGTATGAACCATTCCCATACCACATGGCTCTTTTCCATTCATAAAATTATTTCCTTGCAACAGAAAAATTGAAATCAAAAGATCATAGCGCATGTGTTCCCA